TTTTTGAAGAACCCGGACTCAGAAAAGACACAGTAGGATGGACCCATGGCTGCAGACAAACGCGAGAATGATGACGACACTGTGTCAGAGAAAGCATCGGGATCAGTTTGGGCGGGTGTTTGTGTGTGGGTGTCGCATATGCGCTAATATGGGTTGTGCTAAGTGAAATACATGCAGCGACAGTCTTGACACCTTTTTGACCTGATTCCGCAATGTCGTGGGGTGCACTGGCTGTCGTTCTGCGTGGCAGGCGCACCACTTTGAGAGCGTGACTGCTCTATCCTGCGCACCTGCCATGCAACGCACATGCAACACACATGCAACACACATGCAACACGACATGCAACATGAGCTTTTTACCTGTAAATTTACAGTCAACGTGCAAGATTTGACGTTTGCAGCCCCAACTCCGGTCTTAGAATGGAAAGTGTAGATTTTTGCCCCCGCGGCCACTTTGCTTGGAAATTTACAGGGAAAATGCTCGTGTTGCATGTGTGTTGCATGTGTGTTGCATGCGCGTTGCATTGGCAGCCGTGAAGTGGGGAAGTAGAAAACAGCGTGGCAGGCGCAAGAGTTGTAGGTGGCAGGTGCGAGACTTTGGAAGCTGAGCGCCTTGGATATTACATTGTCGTGGTGGCCCGTAGCATCCACCTTTGTGGGGTTGTCGCATATTATACAGAATAAGTTTTGACAACCGTCTTGGGTAAATTTCATAAGCTGATGGTTAGCCCTTAGCATCCACCTTTATTGGGCTGTCACAGATTACAAAGCGCATGCTTTGACAATGCGTAAATTTCAGAAGCTGATGTTGTCGCATCGATGTGTGTGGATGTGTGCTGATCTACATCCACATGCATATTAACAACAGTTAAAATGAACTCGGAACCAAAAAAAAACTCACCGGACTCAGAAAAGACACAGTAGGATGGACCCATGGCTGCAGACAAACGCGAGAATGATGACGACACTGTGTCAGAGAAAGCATCGGGATCAGTTTGGGCGGGTGTTTGTGTGTGGGTGTCGCATATGCGCTAATATGGGTTGTGCTAAGTGAAATACATGCAGCGACAGTCTTGACACCTTTTTGACCTGATTCCGCAATGTCGTGGGGTGCACTGGCTGTCGTTCTGCGTGGCAGGCGCACCACTTTGAGAGCGTGACTGCTCTATCCTGCACACCTGCCATGCAACACACATGCAACACACATGCAACACACATGCAACACGACATGCAACATGAGCTTTTTACCTGTAAATTTACAGTCAACGTGCAAGATTTTACGTTTGCAGCCCCAACTCCGGTCTTAGAATGGAAAGTGTAGATTTTTGCCCCCGCGGCCACTTTGCTTGGAAATTTACAGGGAAAATGCTCGTGTTGCATGTGTGTTGCATGTGTGTTGCATGTGTGTTGCATGTGTGTTGCATGTGTGTTGCATGTGTGTTGCATGTGCGTTGCATTGGCAGCCGTGAAGTGGGGAAGTAGAAAACAGCGTGGCAGGCGCAAGAGTTGTAGGTGGCAGGTGCGAGACTTTGGAAGCTGAGCGCCTTGGATATTACATTGTCGTGGTGGCCCGTAGCATCCACCTTTGTGGGGTTGTCGCATATTATACAGAATAAGTTTTGACAACCGTCTTGGGTAAATTTCACAAGCTGATGGTTAGCCCTTAGCATCCACCTTTATTGGGCTGTCACAGATTACAAAGCGCATGCTTTGACAATGCGTAAATTTCAGAAGCTGATGTTGTCGCATCGATGTGTGTGGATGTGTGCTGATCTACATCCACATGCATATTAACAACAGTTAAAATGAACTCGGAACCAAAAAAAAAACTCACCGGGTTCTTCAAAAAAAACAGCCATCCACAGGAAACCACAGAGATACCCTGCTTACCCCCGCAACCCCCAACTTCAATGTTGTGATCGGCAGTGCCGAGCATCATCAACAGAAATGGCTGTTTTTTTTGAAGGCCGCCAAACACAAAATTCAGAAGACAACATTGAATTGGGGGACGGGGGGTGGCATGACCTCTCTGGTGTGGTACTTCATGGGATGGCTGTTTTTTTTGAAGCACCCGGACTCAGAAAAGACACAGTAGGATGGACCCATGGCTGCAGACAAACGCGAGAATGATGACGACACTGTGTCAGAGAAAGCATCGGGATCAGTTTGGGCGGGCGTTTGTGTGTGGGTGTCGCATATGCGCTAATATGGGTTGTGCTAAGTGAAATACATGCAGCGACAGTCTTGACACCTTTTTGACCTGATTCCGCAATGTCGTGGGGTGCACTGGCTGTCGTTCTGCGTGGCAGGCGCACCACTTTGAGAGCGTGACTGCTCTATCCTGCACACCTGCCATGCAACGCACATGCAACACACATGCAACACGACATGCAACATGAGCTTTTTACCTGTAAATTTACAGTCAACGTGCAAGATTTGACGTTTGCAGCCCCAACTCCGGTCTTAGAATGGAAAGTGTAGATTTTTGCCCCCGCGGCCACTTTGCTTGGAAATTTACAGGGAAAATGCTCGTGTTGCATGTGTGTTGCATGTGTGTTGCATGTGTGTTGCATGTGTTGTGCATGTGTGTTGCATGTGTGTTGCATGTGCGTTGCATTGGCAGCCGTGAAGTGGGGAAGTAGAAAACAGCGTGGCAGGCGCAAGAGTTGTAGGTGGCAGGTGCGAGACTTTGGAAGCTGAGCGCCTTGGATATTACATTGTCGTGGTGGCCCGTAGCATCCACCTTTGTGGGATTGTCGCATATTATACAGAATAAGTTTTGACAACCGTCTTGGGTAAATTTCACAAGCTGATGGTTAGCCCTTAGCATCCACCTTTATTGGGCTGTCACAGATTACAAAGCGCATGCTTTGACAATGCGTAAATTTCAGAAGCTGATGTTGTCGCATCGATGTGTGTGGATGTGTGCTGATCTACATCCACATGCATATTAACAACAGTTAAAATGAACTCGGAACCAAAAAAAACTCACCGGACTCAGAAAAGACACAGTAGGATGGACCCATGGCTGCAGACAAACGCGAGAATGATGACGACACTGTGTCAGAGAAAGCATCGGGATCAGTTTGGGCGGGTGTTTGTGTGTGGGTGTCGCATATGCGCTAATATGGGTTGTGCTAAGTGAAATACATGCAGCGGCAGTCTTGACACCTTTTTGACCTGATTCCGCAATGTCGTGGGGTGCACTGGCTGTCGTTCTGCGTGGCAGGCGCCCCACTTTGAGAGCGTGACTGCTCTATCCTGCACACCTGCCATGCAACGCACATGCAACACACATGCAACACACATGCAACACACATGCAACACGACATGCAACATGAGCTTTTTACCTGTAAATTTACAGTCAACGGGCAGGATTTGACGTTTGCAGCCCCAACTCCGGTCTTAGAATGGAAAGTGTAGATTTTTGCCCCCGCGGCCACTTTGCTTGGAAATTTACAGGGAAAATGCTCGTGTTGCATGTGTGTTGCATGTGTGTTGCATGTGCGTTGCATTGGCAGCCGTGAAGTGGGGAAGTAGAAAACAGCGTGGCAGGCGCAAGAGTTGTAGGTGGCAGGTGCGAGACTTTGGAAGCTGAGCGCCTTGGATATTACATTGTCGTGGTGGCCCGTAGCATCCACCTTTGTGGGGTTGTCGCATATTTATACAGAATAAGTTTTGACAACCGTCTTGGGTAAATTTCACAAGCTGATGGTTAGCCCTTAGCGTCCACCTTTATTGGGCTGTCACAGATTACAGAAGCGCATGCTTTGACAATGCGTAAATTTCAGAAGCTGATGTTGTCGCATCGATGTGTGTGGATGTGTGCTGATCTACATCCACATGCATATTAACAACAGTTAAAATGAACTCGGAACCAAAAAAAACTCACCGGACTCAGAAAAGACACAGTAGGATGGACCCATGGCTGCAGACAAACGCGAGAATGATGACGACACTGTGTCAGAGAAAGCATCGGGATCAGTTTGCGCCGGTGTTTGTGTGTGGGTGTGTCTGTTTGCTTGCGCATATGTGCTAATATGGGTTGTGTTAAGTGAAATACATGCAGCGACAGTCTTGACACCTTTTTGACCTGATTCCGCAATGTCGTGGGGTGCACTGGCTGCCGTTCTGCGTGGCAGGCGCACCACTTTGAGAGCGTGACTGCTCTATCCTGCACACCTGCCATGCAACGCACATGCAACACACATGCAACACACATGCAACACGACATGCAACATGAGCTTTTTACCTGTAAATTTACAGTCAACGTGCAGGATTTGACGTTTGCAGCCCCAACTCCGGTCTTAGAATGGAAAGTGTAGATTTTTGCCCCCGCGGCCACTTTGCTTGGAAATTTACAGGGAAAATGCTCGTGTTGCATGTGTGTTGCATGTGTGTTGCATGAGTGTTGCATGTGTGTTGCATGTGTGTTGCACGTGCGTTGCATTGGCAGCCGTGAAGTGGGGAAGTAGAAAACAGCGTGGCAGGCGCAAGAGGCGTTTTTTTGGTTGGTAAAATTGGAGATTTGGGGAATATCGAGGTTTACATCCAGTCATGGGGGTACTCCAATAGCTGGATGGTGTGCGTAATGATCCTTTAAGAAATCATCTATTTGGGGGGACCCCGAATTTAGGAAACCTCCATATGTGGTTAGGCCATGAATTGGGGGCGCATCCCAATTAGTATGTGATGAACAAATATGAATCATCATGAAAGGTCCATCCAGTCCATCAGTCCCCGTTTGGGTCCTTCGCCCTGGCGGAAAGTGATCAATTCATCCGTTGATGGTTTCAATGGACTGAAGGCTTCGAAGTTGGATGAGGAATTGCAGGTGGCAGGGGCGAGACTTTGGAAGCTGAGCGCCTTGGATATTACATTGTCGTGGTGGCCCGTAGCATCCACCTTTGTGGGGTTGTCGCATATTATACAGAATAAGTTTTGACAACCATCTTGGGTAAATTTCACAAGCTGATGGTTAGCCCTTAGCATCCACCTTTTTGGGCTGTCACAGATTACAGAAGTGCATGCTTTGACAATGCGTAAATTTCAGAAGCTGATGTTGTCGCATCGATGTGTGTGGATGTGTGCTGATCTACATCCACATGCATATTAACAACACTTAAAATGAACTCGGAACCAAAAAAAATCTCACGGACTCAGAAAAGACACAGTAGGATGGACCCATGGCTGCGGACAAACGCGAAAATGATGACGACACTGTGTCAGAGAAAGCATCGGGATCAGTTTGGGCGGGTGTTTGTGTGTGGGTGTGTCTGTTTGCTTGCGCGGGCGCATATGTAGCTAATATGGGTTGTGCTAAGTGAAATACATGCAGCGACAGTCTTGACACCTTTTTGACCTGATTCCGCAATGTCGTGGGGTGCACTGGCTGTCGTTCTGCGTGGCAGGCGCACCACTTTGAGAGCGTGACTGCTCTATCCTGCACACCTGCCATGCAACACTTATGCAACACACATGCAACACACATGCAACACACATGCAGCACGACATGCAACATGAGCTTTTGACCTGTAAATTTACAGTCAACGTGCAGGATTTGACGTTTGCAGCCCCAACTCCGGTCTTAGAATGGAAAGTGTAGATTTTTGCCCCCGCGGCCACTTTGCTTGGAAATTTACAGGGAAAATGCTCGTGTTGCATGTGTGTTGCATGTGTGTTGCATGTGTGTTGCATGTGTGTTGCACGTGTGTTGCACGCGCGTTGCATTGGCAGCCGTGAAGTGGGGAAGTAGAAAACAGCGTGGCAGGCGCAAGAGTTGTAGGTGGCAGGGGCGAGACTTTGGAAGCTGAGCGCCTTGGATATTACATTATCGTGGTGGCCCGTAGCATCCACCTTTGTGGGGTTGTCGCATATTATACAGAATAAGTTTTGACAACCATCTTGGGTAAATTTCACAAGCTGATGGTTAGCCCTTAGCATCCACCTTTTTTGGGCTGTCACAGATTACAGAAGTGCATGCTTTGACAACGCGTAAATTTCAGAAGCTGATGTTGTCGCATCGATGTGTGTGGATGTGTGCTGATCTACATCCACATGCATATTAACAACACTTAAAATGAACTCGGAACCAAAAAAACTCACGGACTCAGAAAAGACACAATAGGATGGACCCATGGCTGCGGACAAACGCGAAAATGATGACGACACTGTGTCAGAGAAAGTATCGGGATCAGTTTGGGCGGGTGTTTGTGTGTGGGTGTGTCTGTTTGCTTGCGCGGGCGCATATGTGCTAATATGGGTTGTGCTAAGTGAAATACATGCAGCGACAATCTTGACACCTTTTTGACCTGATTCCGCAATGTCGTGGGGTGCACTGGCTGTCGTTCTGCGTGGCAGGCGCACCACTTTGAGAGCGTGACTGCTCTATCCTGCACACCTGCCATGCAACGCACATGCAACACACATGCAACACACATGCAGCACACATGCAACACGACATGCAACACGACATGCAACATGAGCTTTTGACCTGTAAATTTACAGTCAACGTGCAGGATTTGACGTTTGCAGCCCCAACTCCGGTCTTAGAATGGAAAGTGTAGATTTTTGCCCCCGCGGCCACTTTGCTTGGAAATTGACAAGGAAAATGCTCGTGTTGCATGTGTGTTGCATGTGTGTTGCATGTGTGTTGCACGTGCGTTGCATTGGCAGCCGTGAAGTGGGGAAGTAGAAAACAGCGGGGCAGGCGCAAGAGTTGTAGGTGGCAGGGGCGAGACTTTGGAAGCTGAGCGCCTTGGATATTACATTGTCGTGGTGGCCCGTAGCATCCACCTTTGTGGGGTTGTCGCATATTATACAGAATAAGTTTTGACAACCATCTTGAGTAAATTTCACAAGCTGATGGTTAGCCCTTAGCATCCACCTTTTTTGGGCTGTCACAGATTACAGAAGTGCATGCTTTGACAATGCGTAAATTTCAGAAGCTGATGTTGTCGCATCGATGTGTGTGGATGTGTGCTGATCTACATCCACATGCATATTAACAACACTTAAAATGAACTCGGAACCAAAAAAAACTCACCGGGTTCTTCCAAAAAAACAACCATCCACAGGAAACCACAGAGATACCCTGCTTACCCCCGCAACCCCCAACTTCAATGTTGTGATCGGAAGTGCCGAGCATCATCAGCAGAAATGGCTGTTTTTTTTGAAGGCCGCCAAACACAAAATTCAGAAGACAACATTGAATTGGGGGACGGGGGGTGGCATGACCTCTCTGGTGTGGTACTTCATGGGATGGCTGTTTTTTTTGAAGAACCCGGATGAACCCGGTAACTCCGGGAATACTCAAATCCTCACAACCAATAGAGGACGACCCTAATTTGTGCATGGCATTAAATTTAATATATTTTTTTTCCGCTACTCATATGAATGTTGATTCGGCAGGCCTTGGCAGCAGATGATGCTCAGCACTACTTACAGGGCATTTTCCATCATTTGCTGAAAGACAGCGCAGTGGTCGTGGTCCCAGAGACGTCGATTTGATGGACAGCCAACATCTCTGCGCAACGGAGATGGAAGAATTGGCCCTGGGTTCCGATATTCCGATATCATTTGGTCCATTGGACGCCAAGGCGTGGACTCGCGGAGTCTTGGAACATGTTGAAACCTAGTCGGGGGTTCATGTGGAGTTAGCATAACTATCTTATTTCCATACCTGACCGTACGACTGGGATGATGATTCCAAATGACTAATCGGTAGCTAGCTCGAGTTTACTCTTGCTTCAGCAAGGGAGGGGCAGCTCTGACTCCAACACAGTGATTTTTCACGTGAAACCACCTTGCCCCTTCCCCCCCAAGCTCCCTGTGCATTTCTGAACCGTTTTAGAACCAGATGGTTATAGGCTTAAATCCCCCCAGGTCTTCAAGAGATATTTGTTCGGGCGCACAGATCATTCAAAGACAAGGCGCTTTGCTTAATATCGACAGAAAATTATGTTTTTTTTCTCCATTTTGGTTGATATAGAAATCAGTCCTGTACTGAACATATCAAGATCCCATGACGTTTCTAGACTCGTGCGAACCTTAGCTTTCGTGCACCCTGGGCCTCTTGAAACGGCCAGGTCACGAGCTTGATGAGCAAAAGGCAAGCAAACTGTTGAACACAGTGCGGCTGCTTCTCCCAGTGGCATCCAAAGTATCTCATGATCCTGAAGATGAGTACCTTACAGAGATCTTGTTTCGGACGTTTCGGATTGCGAATTTACGTAAATCAGATGAATAATATCCTTTTACATCATTTTACATGATCAAGGTCCCTAGGTCCCCCCAGGGCCCAGGTCCGGTCTTGTAATGCCTCAGGAGGACGCCTGCTACTTCGAAGAGCATGGCTGCTACCCTCCAGATTTCTGCCAATCAAGTGCCAAAGCTTGTTGCGTCAATCTTTGGCCAGAAGTCCCAAGGATCTTTCCTCTGTGACCGGGCGGCTTTCCATGTCTTCATGATGGCATCTGGTGCTGATGCCCGTCCTTTCACAAAGATGAATTACGATGACTTCTGCCCACTCAGTTACCTTGACATGAAGTTCCGCAAGAAGATCAAAAAGTAGCTCATGAGTCTCATGAGAGATGAATTTTGAGTTTCGCAATGCGAGCATTGCCAAGGCCTGGAGGCTAGCATCGGTGCTGATGTTTGGGGCGTCGCTGCAAAATCGAAACTAGGACCGATGTGCTGGATCTTTCAAGGTTTTGGATCCACCGTGAATCCACAATTCAGCTTTTGGAAGTCAAAGCAGCCCGTATCGACCCATTGTATGCTGCTATGCATTTCGTGTTTGCATGCTCAAGGATTTCATGGTTCCAAAGTGACCCTTCAGCTTCCCAGAACTAAGAACTCCTCGCATCACACTCCTAAGGACATCATGGTTTATGTTCAGCCCCCCCTCTTACTCTCCAAGTGAGTCAAGTGATCCCTTGGAGAAGTCCTTGTTGCAATTCTTCAGCCTACAGTCCAGATTGCTTGTGCACTGTGGAAACTTCAACCTAAACCATGAGTCGATGCCATGGGCCAGACATGCCATAGCCTCATGTCGACTCATGTCGACTCACTTCCTGAAGAATCCTTCAAACACTTGCGTCATGCTGAGAGATGTCGATTTATTTTCAAACGTCGGATCGGCTGAGGCAGGCTTTGGGCAGGACTTGTTGCGACGTATTTTGAATCACAAAGAAAGGCAGGGCCAGCCGCATCCTCAGCCTCTGCGGGGTCTCTTCAGATATTTTTCCTTCTGATTTGGCAAAATGTGTAAGCACCGAGTAGGAATCCAAATTCAAGTGCTTGGTTCTGATGGTGGAAGCAGATATGTCAAATATATATATATATACTGTATATACAATATAATATATATATAATATACCTAGCTGATCAGATATGTGTACAGTGTAGACTATGTCACATGTAGCATATATGTTTGTATATGTGCTGCAGCCATTTTAGTGCTTTCAGCTACCTTCGAGCTGACTGAGTAAAAGGTGCTGATCAGTGCTCAGGAGTGTTCATCAGATTTAAGAGCCCAAATTCTCTGTTCATGGTAGCGGAGCTGAGGTTCTGATACCCGGCTGTGAATGTGTAGGTGTCAACGCCGAGCTGCATCAGCTCTGGCGCGCCTACACAGTGCCAACTGGAAAAGGTTGACACTCAAGCTCCTGAAAATCAGGAAACTCCAAAGGTACTTCCATAACCTGGGAGTGCATCTCCAACAGTATCCAAGGGTTCTCTTGAACCAGGTCTCTAAGCACCTGAAGAACGACTAAGGATGGCTCAGCAACAGCAGCCACCTCAGCAACCAGGCACTCCACCGGCACCACCACAAGCACAAGGCAACGGTCCCAACATGTCCCAGATGATCATGCAGATGATGGCCCAATTGACTCAGGGTCAGGCGCAGTTGAATCAGGCAATGACCGAGGCTATGAACCAGCAGCTACAGATCAACAGAAATGTTGAGAGGTCTGTTGAGTACAAAGACAGATCAGAGTTGAAAGGCATACCCAAACCTGATAAGTTCACTGGAGCATCAGGCACTTGGGATAGTTGGTGGTACAAGTTTAAGACATGGGTTGAAAGTTGCCACAAGAATGCTGTGAAGATTGTGGCACAAGTTGAATCTCAGTGTGACAAAGAGATCACTGAGTCAAGTCTAGAAGTAGACTTTGATGAAGGCGCCGAGCTAGTTTCAGCTCAGGCTAGACAAGCCCTCATATCATTGACTGAGGGAGAAGTGTTGGAAATTGTCAAGAACACATCTCGTGGTAGCCACTTTGGCCTAGAAGCCATGAGACGACTGTTGTGCAAATATGATCCTCAAAATCCTCAAGCCAATTCAGCCTTGTTGAAAAAGGTTCTGCATCCAAGTCAATGCAGTCTTGATAAGCTTCGAGAAGGGCTTGAGAGTTGGGAGAACTTGAAAAGAAAGTACGAAGACAGGAGAAAGAAACCACTTGAAGATGACATCTGCAGGAGTTGCTTGCAGCAGATGTGTCCCAACAAGTTGCAAGATCATTTGGACTTGCAGGCTTCGAGATTGACCACGTATGACCAGGTGAAAGCTGAAGTTTTGGCCTACCTTGAGAACGACGAGACCAGGAAAGAAGCAAAGTCAGGAGCCGTTCCCATGGATGTGGATTCCCTTGCTAAGGGTAAGGGAAAAGGAAAACATGATAAAGGGAAAGGCAAAGGTAAGTCCAAAGGTAAAGACAAAGGAAAGAGTCAGTCTTCGTCTTGGTCAAACAACTCATACAACAAGTCTTGGAACAATCAGTCTTGGAATCAGCAGTCTTGGTCTAAACAGAATACCAATGACTCCAAGAGCAAAGGCAAAGGTAAGAAAGGTCAAGACAAAGGTAAAGGAAAAGGGGATCAAGGCAAAGGTCGTAAAGTTGCTAATGTTGAGTCTGACACTTGGGCTCAAGAGCAACAACCTGCAGCATCATCTGGTGATCAACCTGAACCAGAGATCACTGCGCTGTTTGCCTTGGAAGACACTATGCCACCCAAGTCTGAAGCTCGAGATGAATCTTCTCGTCGTGGTCGAAGCCCAAGACGAGCAAACCTTCAAGCACCTTCAAGGAGCACTGTGACCAGGAGCGCTATCGTCATGGCTCAGAGCGCTTTGGCATCAGCTTCTGGGTCTAACAAGGAGCTGTTTGGCAAGATGACTGCTCAGGCTGAGAGCGCTGTCAAAGAAGCTCAGGACAAAGGGCGTCAAGCAAATCAAGCTCTTAAGGAACGCCAAGAAGCCCTGGGCAAGTTGAAGAAAGAGGCAGCCCAGCATCACAAAGAGGCCAAAGAGGCAATGGCCAAAGTGAGGGCAGAAGGCCGTGCTGCTTCAGCACCGGCTGCACCCTCTCGTCGGATGCAAGCCGACCTTGATGCTGGAGTACATCCAAGAGCTGCCAAGAAGAAGGAGAAGGACAGGCAGAGAGCTGCCAGTCATCGAGCAGCCACTGCTGGACAAAGAGCATCCAGCTTCAAGCGCTATGAGTTGGCCACCTTTGGACAGGCCAACCCTGACAAGTGGGACAAGGATGACATGGGAGATCTTCCTGAACCTCCCAAAGCAAGAAAGCTGGAACCTAAGCGCCACAGAGGAGGACGTCATTGGTCTGACAGACGTAGAGCACATGAAGCAAGGAAGAAGGCCAATAAGGAGAAGATGAAAGAGATGAGCAAGGATGAGATCCCACAATGGATCCATGACAAGTGTGAGATTTCCTCTGAGGAGAGCATTTCCTCTGAAG